TGGAACACTGTTATCATGTCTCTCCTAGTCCTTCTTTTAATTAAACTAGACATACCCAGTTCCTGCAACCATTCTTCATATATTTTAGCCTCCAATCCCTTAATCATTTTTTTTTTGCTCTTCTCTGCACTCTTTCTAGAGTCTCAACATTTTTTTACATCGTGGCGACCAAAACTGGATGCAGTATTCTAAGTGTGGTCTTACCAAGACCTTATAAAGTGGGATTAACACTTCACGTGATCTTGATTCTACCCCTCTGTTTATGAAGCCTAGAACTGTGTTGGCTTTTTTGGCAGCTGCTGAACATGGCTGGCTCATATTTAAATGATTGTCCACTAGGACTCCAAGATCCTTTTCACAGTTACTACTATCCTTAAAATTCCTCATTGGTTTCTAACCCATGGCAGTAGCTGGGTTCATATATCATAAGGCTGCACCATCACAGGGTTTGTTTTCTCTTTGGTGGCTAAGAGTTATTAATAAACCAGACAACACAAAAGTGTTGTGAATTAAAAAATCCTGAATTCCAAAAATGTAGCCTCTCATTTCCAAACCCACTAAGGAACATACCAACTTACAAATGCTTTCCATCTCTATATTATTTTGATTCTTGATTCCATTTCAACAGTGTTTTCCAGAAGCCTCCAAAACACGTCGGGATGTAGAAGTTATGGAGAACAATGAATTGATTGAGATCAACCCCCAAACAGAAGGCAAAGTTTACACCCGCTGCTTCTGCCTAGAAGAACCTCAAAACAAGCAGGTTTGTCTTCACAGGCTACTCCTCTTCTGAGTCTTTTGATTTTGTCTCAGCCCCACTTGGATGGGGGAACTGACTTTTATTCTTGGGTTTTATGCTTTTATGGATCCTTCGGTGCTGTGCCTATTATGAATATTATGAATTAAAATGGGCAAGAGAGCAAAGAACCATGGAAGCCTTCATTTAAATCTTACCTCTGCCATGAAACCAAGAGAGGGGATAATCTAAACAGAACTACTTTACTTTAGAGATTAAGACATAAAATGGGAGTGAGCAAAGTCACGCTCAAACTCCCACAATGCTGCTTAAGCATGTGACCAAGGGCCTCCGGTTTTCTTTTAAATGAAACTTAACCAAAAGCTAACAAAAGGTTCATTGTGAATGTGTCCTCAGCTTTCATGAGAAGTTGGTTGGTTTTGAATTAGATGGATAAATAGATATAGTGGTACCTGGGTACTCGTTGTTAATTGATTCTGGGAGGCATGACAAGTACTAAAAACAATGAGTGCCAAACCAACCCCATGTCTTATCACACGACCCTTTGTTTTGCCTGGTTGTTTTGACCTAGGCTTTCCAAGAGCATGAAGCGAACTCCTTGTCCCGATAAAAACCCCTTTTATTAATTTATTGTGAATTCTACTTATTCACATCCAACGAAGTCTTTCAATTAATTCGTAATTCGTAATTTAATGAGCTTATATGCCGCCTCCCTTTCAAAGGAGGATTTACAGTCACAGACCTTATCTGGCTGGGAGAGCTGACAGACTAATATCTGCAAAACTTGGTAAGGAATCTGACAGAGTCATGAACCAATTAAGCGAACTAATTGTCTCCTGCAAACTCCACTCCCCTTTCGCTCCTCTTTTATTTCCTCTAGGAGGGGCCATTCATCATCCACCTGTGGCTTTACTCCCAAGACACCCCTTGTTCTTTAGCTGTTCCCTTCATTTGGCAACTCTGCACATGGGCACACCAGGAACAGGCTCCAGCTGTTCATCTGTCTCACTGATATCTGCCTCTTAAGGCAGCTGATAGCTGGCATATGGCTCTGCCCCCCTCTCTGCCTCTGGAACAGAGCCCTTATCAGAGCTTTCCCTGGACTCCAGGACTGGCCCATGTTCCTCCCGAACCTCCTCACTGTCTGAATCTGTTGCCAGTTCCTCCGGCCACTGGTGGGCCAAAACCCTGGGTTCTGTTTTGGCAGAACTTCCTGTCTGTCCCTTTTCCTATGCCAGTAACCTTCCCAGCATGGCCAACTTCCTGTCTGTTTCACTGTGACTGTCTCCCTTTTCCTACTGCAGTGCATTGAGTACCAAACAAACAATGAGTACCAGGACAACATTTTTATATCAAAATGCATTGAGTACCAAATTAAACATGTTTTGAAGCAGTGGAGTACTGAGATACCTCTATACGTAGATTCCCACCATATGTATGAAATTGCAGAGAGGGTGTTCACTAACCAGAAAGCTTCAGAGCCTGGCACAAAGTCCACAAACTGGACTCCTGTAATGGTCATTGGATGACTTAGAAGACAGGGAGGGAGAGAGAGACACACACAGAGACTGGAGAATATCTCCAAAATATATCTCAGCCCACAGAAGGAATAAGGAGATATTTCAGAAGTGACCCTCCCTGGTTTTATGGAGAGTTAAAAGGAAAGGAAGGGAGAAAGACCTTGCAAGATCTGCTAATGCAACTTGATAGAGCTGGCATTTCTGATTGAGCTTCCTGTCTCGCAAGGTGAACAGTTCTGTTTGCTGGCTGGGGGAATTCTGGGAGTTGAAGTCCCCATCTCTTCAAGTTGCCAAGGTTGAGAAACGCTGCCCTGACAGCTACTATATAAAAAAACCATGTTGTGGTCCATTATTTGTCCTCATGGAAATCCAGAGCCTTCACTTTGTGCACCACAGAATGATTTTTTGGGATGTCTGTGCACAGAGAGCCAAGATGTCGCTTTGATTTATTCTGATAGTCATGAGGTTAAATCGGACCGAATTATATGGTATGGGAAACATTTGGTTATTTTAGCCTGCCCACTCCTGCTTTTCCATTCTCCAAATACTCAGCTTCTGCAGTATGATGGAAGCAGTGCTGGCAACCCTCTATGGAACTAAAGTGTCCCCTTTTGTTCTCAGTCTCACCATCTCTGTGATTTTTATAATTAAATGTGAAATATGTTATATTTCCCTTTGAAATCGCTTTCCTTACATTTTGAAAAACCTAGGGGCATCGTAATAGTGACACTATTTAAAAAGAGAAAGGCAGCAGGGCAATTTTGTGGCTGTTGGAGAGCTATGAAGGATGGAGTGCTGATGCGAGATACACAAAGACAGATTGTGCCCTCTGTGCTTGGTTGTTTTCTTGCAGACATTTTATTACCAAACTAGGTAGCACCATCATGAGATCTGGTGGTGTAATGGTTAGAATGCAGTATTGCAGGCTAACTCTGCCCACAGTCTGGAGTTCAATCCAGTCTTCCAGCCTTCCAGCTTGTTGGGGGCATGATGCTGACATTATAAACCACTCAGAGAGTGCTGAGAAAGCACTACAGGTCATCTTCAACATACGACCACAATTGGGCCCAACATTTCTGAAATTTGTTACATGAATTTTGCCCTGTTTTAAGACCTTTCTTGCCACAGTTGTTAAGTGAATCAGTGCAGTTCATAAGTTAGTAACCTCACTGTGAAATGAATCTGGCTTCCCCATTGACTTTGCTTGTTAGAAGGTTGCAAAATGTGATCACATGACCTTGGGACATAACAACGGTCATAAGTATGAAACAGTTGCCAAGCACCTGAATTTTGATCACATGATCATGGAGATGCTTCAAAAATTGTAACTGTGAAAAACAGTCATAACGTTTTTCAGCTCTGTTGTAACTTTGAATGATCACTAAATGGACTGTTGTAAATCAAGGACTACCTGTATAGGGTGTTATATAAGTGCTATTTGTTTTGCTATCATTGGTGGTTGATAGTTCCTTGATTACTGTTGTTTAGTGTTAGCCTGTTTATTTGAATTGGTAGTTCCTGGACGGGAGTAATGAAATAATTTTAAACAAACATCCAGGCTCAGGGAGCATCAATGACCTCACAGTACAAACTTGAGCTACAAATATTATCTTCTAAAGTGAGAGAAGATCACAGGTTATGGTTAAAAAATAAATCAAGATAGTGGATCTCAGGCCATTGCATATTTAAAAAACAGGCAAAGTTTAACTGTATTCTTGTTGTTACACTTTCATCCACTCAAGGACCTAGAATAGGCAGGTGATGTTGTTTGGTGGTGCTAAAGTATTGTCCCTGGAATGCAAGCTGTGTCAAGTAAAACTGCCTTTGCAATTGGCTGTTATTGTTATTGCTGTTTATCAAATTTATATACAGTACGGTCAATTTCACTGATACAGTGAATATGTGAAGCTTACCAATGGTAAAAAAATAAATATAAAACAATTTAAAATTAAACTGAAATTGAATTAAAAGGTTTAGTATAAATTTCAGTTCCAATGGATGGCTGTGAAAGTTGGACCGTAAGAAAGGCTGAGCACCTATATATACATGCTGGTCTTGTTGTATTCGGGTCTTTTCCCGTGTACAACAAGACCAGCATACCTACACCTGTGAAAATCTACAAAACACACACACACACATACACACACACACAGACTCACTGGAAAAGTGCCTCATGCTGGGAAAGATTAAGGGCAAAAGAAGAAGGGGACGAAAGAGAATGAGGTGGCTGGATGGAGTCACCGAAGCAGTTGGTGTGAGCTTAAATGGACTCAAGAGGATGGTAGAGGACAGGAAGGCCTGGAGGAATATTATCCATGTGGTCGCGATGGGTCAGACACAACTTTGCATCTAACAACAACAAATAAATTTCAGATTGCTATGATTTCCCAGAGGGGTGAAATTCAGGCTTCATCCCAAAGGAATTCAAGAGCTATTTAAACCCAAGATTTATCTAAATCAGGGTCCAGTTACTGAAGACAGGGTTTAACTTTGCATCAAGCAAATTGGACAATGTCCTTTTAATTACATCATCCCTGATTGGACAGAATCACTTGTATCACTAATTCATATCTCTTTAGGGGACAGGGGGGGGAAAAAGGCTCATCTGTTCCCAGAGATTCAAAAACACTTATGGAGCCTTAATTACAAACTTATTTTATTATCCCATCAGTTCGTCTAGTTGACATCTCTCAGATGAAGAGGATCCACAAAAGCTCATGTGATAATAAAAATAGTCTTTAAATCAGTGTTTCTCAAGATGTCTGGATTTCATGCTTGCTGGGGAATTCTGGGAGTTTAACCAAACAAATAACAGAGTTGGAAGGGACCTTGGAGGTCTTCTAGTCCAACCCCCTGCTTAAGCAGGAGAGCCTATGCTATTCCAGACAAATGGTTGTCCAATCTCTTCTTACAAACCTCCAGTGATGGAGCACCCATGACCTCTGAAGGGCTCCTTTGTACCTGCAGCAAAACACAGGACCTGAGCACCACAACCTATGCTGCTACTTTCACTTTGGGATAAGAGAAAAGAAAGACTTGCGGGGGGGGGGGGGGGACATGATAGCAGTCTTCCAGTATTTGAGGGGCTTCAGAAGAGAGAGTCAAAGCACCAGACAAGAAGCAACGGGTGGAAACTAATCAAGGGGAGAAGCAACCTGGAATTAAGGAGAAACCTCCTAACAGTAAAGACAATTAACCAGTGGAATAACTTGCCACCAGAAGTTATGGGTGCTCCAGACTGGAGGTTTTCAAGAAAAGACTGGACAGCCATCTGTCTGAAATGGTGTAGGGTCTCCTGCTTGAGCAGGGGGTTGGACTAGAAGACTTCCAAAGTCCCTTTCCACTTCTAGTCTGATGGGATTAAACATCTCAACCTCAAGCTGAGGTTGAGAAACACTGCTTGAGAGTGACACAAAATTCCTGGTTGGTTCTGCGTTAAGAGACTCACATGGCCACCTCCTAGGAAAACAAGAAGAGTTATACTCT